CAGCTTGTGGGAAGGACCAGTAACTAGATCAAGGCTGAGAGCACAAGGGAAGAGACTTCAATACTTAATCAAATCTGTGGGGAGTAAACCAGAAGAGAAGGACCAAGACAAATCAGTTTGTTGGTTTAATGTTATTTCTGTGTAATTGATTTCATTTAGATTAAACCAAATAAAATTAGGAATAGTAAACCAAGTTCAATCAGGATTAGGATAACCAATTTCGAATTGGTTTAGATCTCTTAATTAAACCAATCTGGTTAAGGATTAGGGTAGCTTACGTTTTCTATTTAATTCTTGTACGCAGCTGAGAGCAACTTTTATTGAATCTAATAATTTCTCAGCAACCTTGCTTGCCTTTGTCTCACGTTTTCTCTGTTCAGCTAAAGGAACATTGATCTCACCATAGGGAAGGAATTCCTTAGTGAATCCATCTTAGATAATACAGGGTGATCATGTATCTCTGAGTAGCAAACCATCTCTGTCGCCACACTCATAGCTTCAGAGAAACGTCCATAGTACTTCAGAGTGTTCATAACCTCTATGAACACTCCCTTTCCATACAACTTCAAGTGATCCAGGAGCAGAAGCCATACCCCGGCTGCACCACAAATTCACCATACAATGGCAGAAACAGAAACTTCAATCAGGCTGCGCATTAGCCACAACGCAAGATTCCCAATATATCAACCAAATACGATTCCATATTTTTGTAATCATCATATTCGTTTACTCTCCTCTTTCATTACGTAGCCAACCTATATGCAAACTTAAGCGCAAGAGCCGTACCTACTATATTGTGAAAAAGGCGCGTTAGGGCCCTTAATTTCAGCATTCTACTAGTGTAGTGGTTAAAAGGGAAGTGAGGTTTGGGTTTTGAGTTTCTAATCCCGAGTTAAAAACCAACTTTTATAATTTTGTTTCTTAATAGATATTTTTTTTGTAAACTTCTTAATAGGTTTTATTGACACTATAAGAATAAATATTTTAAATTTTGCCTCAAGCCTCTCGCCTTGGCACGACACTGCTTAAGCGCATACGAACAATCTGAACTCAATCTTGTAAGCCCCGAAACAAGTATTGTTGGAAGATCTTAGTGTCCGTGGTAACAAACAATTGAAGCACAACCTCGGGAATAAGGGTTAATGTATTTAGCCGACTGAATTTGACTGTTTTCTGCCTAGCTTGACGCGAGGTGCCACCTGTAATGGTTATTTTGGAGCCTCAGTCCTCACTGCCTTCCAAATTCTTCGTAGTGGTCGTGTGTTCTTCTGCACATCGACACAATGTACATGACATGCAAAACGTTGGAACTATAATAGTTCAGAGATATTATCTCCAAACTATTTACCAAAGTTGACCGTAGAATAATTCATAGTAATTATTTTCAGATATTGTATGATCTGTTATGCTTTTTTATAAAATGGAATATTTCTGAACTAGCGAAAAATCCGTTAATATCCAAATATTCAAGCCCAGTGGCAGAGTTACATGTATTGAATGGACTCACTTGACGACCCCTGTGAATTTCTATAAAAACAAATTTACTTGTATTTTTACAAATAAATTGATGAAATTTTTGAAAATGAACTTATATGATCCTCGTAAAATAGTTTGGATTCGAAACTAATTCTAATAACTTTTCCAGTATCGTTTAACTGGCAATGATTTTTCCATCCACAAAAGGCAAACTTGTGAAAATAAATAAGAAAATGATGAAAGAGAAATAACATGCATGTCCATAGTAATACTATAATTAATTATACTACTTATTATAGAGTGGTCGACAAAAAAAACTTATTTTAGAGTGATGTCATAATAATATTTCAACATCGTCTTTGTTGATTCTCCAACAGAGTTAACAAAGATCATTCGCCACAAGCTAAAGCTTATATATGATGCCTCCATATATATTTTTACATCTCCGGTTTTACTCTCCATACTGTTACTATCTTCCATCTTCATCCATCAAAGCCACCGTTCTAAATCTTTACACTGGGACTTCAGATACGTACACGAAAACGTCATAAAAGGAAAATGAAAAGCACACACACAAGTAATAGCTTACAGAGTAAGTAATCACCATGATGATAGGATCTTCTCATCATGGGACATATATATTTTTACATCTCCGGTTTTACTCTCCATACTGTTACTATCTTCCATCTTCATCCATCAAAGCCACCGTTCTAAATCTTTACACTGGGACTTCAGATACGTACACGAAAACGTCATAAAAGGAAAATGAAAAGCACACACACAAGTAATAGCTTACAGAGTAAGTAATCACCATGATGATAGGATCTTCTCTTTGTCTAAGCTACACGCACACTTTTGACGTAGAGAGAGAAATAAGAAAGTAAAATTATACACAAGTAAGATCGAGATGGGGACAAAATTTTTATACAAAGGTTATTAACAAGCTCAGAAAATGTAATCACTCTGGTCTCCATGATGGTTAGTTTTTGTTAATAAGTCACATTTATTTTTCATTCCTTCCAAAATGAGCTATTACAATTACATACGCTCAAACCATAATGGACGTATGAGTTAATCAAAGACATCTTTATTCAAATCTCATATGTGTTATGAATCATAATGTTGAATTTTATTTTGAAACCCATCATGTACATTTATAGATATTTTCTGACTAGCTATTTAAGTCATATATTGGATTAGTACTAACTGTTTAATAGTTATTGATTGGAAATCTCATATGTGTTATGCACCTCAATGTTGAACTTTATTACAAAAATCAGCATATACAGTTATATTTGAACTAACTATATAAGTAGTATAAGTTATTTAATAATTTACTAATAAAATTCTGGTAGTTTAGAATAGGTGTTTTTTTTGTGCAATTTCTAAGAGAAACAAAAATCCACCTAATCTAGTGAAATTATTGGTTTGTTGCAACCTTTGATGCTGTTTTCACATAAAAACCGATTTTATGTTAAAAATACATTAACATCTTTTTTCTATGAAGTTCACAATTATATATATATATGAAATTTTGTTGGCTTGGAGGCTAAGGGACAATATTAAGTTGTTGTCTTATCCATTACACTGATAATTAGAGTGGATCAAAAAATAATTATGATTGCTAACGAAGCACAAGAAATGTTGAGATCCATGATGTTTAATACACTTTCGATCTTTAATACACTTTCAAGTCCAATCTTGCGGGACTATTAGAAGTTGTAATTGTGGATTTGTCTAGTCCAATAGCGCAAGTTAATGTGTGTTATACAATGAAATTATGAGAGAGAGGATAATGCTCATCTCTAATTTTGTTTGAATTGCCATCTTTTCTTTATTATATTCAAATCAAATCACTCAAAATTTGACATGGGAAAATCAAATGTACTAAGATTAAAACCTTCATTCTCATAGTGGAATGACAATAACCATAGAGAGGTCCAGAAAACTGTTGAAAATAACTAGAAACAACAAGAAAAATAAAAAGAATCATCTCATATAGTCCCTTGATTTGGCCTCCCTCACCAATAGTTGGAAGCAGAAAAAGTTTATATGAAGAGATGAAACAAGTGAAAGACTAAATTTAACAATCAACCCTATCAGCAAAAACTATTTTGCTAACCAAATAGAAACAACTTAGTCTTGTTTAAAGGAGATGGCACACTACAACCAAAAGATACTAATAGTCTCTGTGTGGTATGTATCCTCTCTGAAATCCGATGTTTTGTAGTATCCATTCACCCCAATTAGGTAAGCTGTATTGTCAATATATTCTACGTCTTAGAAAGCCTTACGGTTTTGTGTAACTCTGCATTGGTTTCTTCATTTCAACACTACAAAAACTCATAGAAAAGATGATTTTTAAAAGGAAGTAATGTTTAGTATTTAGATGATATGATCGTGTTTTTAGTTTCCTTTCCAACTGAAGGTCAAGCTCGAGGAAAGTCCCTTTGAGTTCTTCACATCGTCTCTTTTTGTAGTCAAGTTCCTACTGCAAGAGAAGACAAGCTTCTGATCTTTTATCTCTTAGTTCTTATCTCTCATCAGTTTCAATTTTCTCCACATTATATGTTGTTGTTAGACCTAGATGTCTCTTGATCTCATCCTTTGTCGCTGTACCTGGATCGTAAGTGATTACGTGATTCATAACATCATCATCCCACATCGTAAAGCAATATTGATGTCTTGTATAATTCTGTAACATCATGTTTCATATATCCTCTCTTGCTTCATTATAGTGCTCAAAACAATTTGAATCCAATCAAAGGATCCTCCCTTTTCATCCCTAACCCAATTTGAGTTGGTTGCTTGGTTTCTTTATCATGTAAGTCCAAAGATTTCCTTTTCTTAACTGTTTTGTTGTAGAGACAAAACCTTATATTGAAGGCGAACCTTATATTAGGAACAATTGGTTGGACTGTAACTATAGAAATTTTATTGTAAAATTTAGTCTTTAAAAGTTTTTGATATAGTTGTATCTAATATAGTTATAGATATTAAATAACAAAAAAAAAAGATAATCCTAGAACAATTTATTTTACTTTAGAAAATAACTCATAGAGTTTTTTGTTTTACTTTTTTTATAAAACCTACTTAAAATATGATTAGTGTTCTGCATTGCATTAAATAAGCCTAACCACAAACATTCATATTTTTTCTTGAGCATATAAACATCAAATATAATCAATTATCAAAGTACTAATCACATCAATCGGTTAAATGGTTAACTAATCAGGTAAAATACTCTACTAATCAGCTACACACTTGGTTATAACTTCTATTAGTATGACTTCGTAAGACACTGCATTTAATATATTACTCCCTTTGTTCCACTTTTATTTGCCGTTTTAGAGAAAAAAATTCTTTCAAAATAAGTGTCGTTTTATAATTTCAATACAAATTTATTAGTTTTATGTACTAGTCTATTTGTCTATTGCTTAAAATTTGATTATTTTGAAAATATGTAAAATTAAATGAATTTTTAATCTGTGTGCATAAACTTAAAATGACAACTAAAATGAAACGGAAGAAGTATTTGATTAAATAAACAGTAAACAAAAGAAGATGAAGCTGATAGTGATCCAAACCACTTTATGTAAAAGAACAGGGAAATGCTAAGCTATGTATATGTTCTTGTCAAGAACATAGCGTATCAAAGAATTGCTTTATGTAAACACATAAAAAAAAAGATTATTTCTACTACTCAAAAATTTTCGACCAAAGCTTTTTATTCAACCTTTGATCATCAAAGACAAAAGCCAAGTGGAACCAAGACCAGAAGACTCTTAACTCTCTACTGGTTTTGTTGACTTTTGACCAACCGGTAAATCATCGATCCAGTCCCCATAGATTCGATTAATCTTCTTGGAGTCACTCCACTTGAGCAAACACTTCTTTCGCCTCCCTTCATCGTTAAGACCAGAAGAATCCGCTGCTACTTGTGCAGTTGGTTTCATTGCAAATGATTCGTTTGCAGGCATCACCGTTTGTTTACTCACAGACGCTGCTACTGCGTTCACAGCTTCTCCCTCAACTCTTCCAACAGAGTGTTGCAGCAGCTCTGCATTATCACAAAGATCATCACACACACACACAAACACACACACGCAAATCTATACAAGGAATTATATCAGCAAAGATTATTAACATTACCTGCTTGGCCATGAGCAAAGTGACAGCTATCACCAAAAGGACACTGACCCTTCTCAAACTTCCCACATAGTCTAGTCTTCCAGTACACAGTCTTGACACCACCACCATTGTTCAAAGGTGGAGCAGGTACAGGGATGCTTCCTTGTCTAATCACTTCAACTTGATGAGAAACAGTACCACCATTCTCAACAGAGAGTGAATCAGTACCAACACTTATAGCCAAACTCTCTCTCAACTTCCCATTCTCCTCACGGAACTTAGACAAATCCTCATGAATAAAATTGCACCTGTCCCCATAAGGACACTCCTCACCAAAACAAAACTTCCTGCAAAGCTTCATCCTCAAGATAATCTTCTGATCATCTTCCCAATTACCATTACTACTATTATTCACAACAGAAACAGAAGAAAGTCTCTCCCTTTCCCTCTCCCTCTCTTTCTCCCTGTCTTGCACAGGAGGTCCAACAATCTCCTGCCAGTTCGATGGAGGTTGTCTCAAATCCTCCATCCCATGAGCAAAATTGCAAAGCTCTCCGTTCCTACAAGCCCCTGACTTGAACTTGACACACATCCTCGTCTTGTAGAAGATATTGGCTGTGCCTTTGTTCATAGGAGGAGGGTTTGAAGATGGAACATTCCAAGAAGTGTTGTTGTTGTCATCAACAAGTCTTGGCCTTTTGGGTTGTGGCATTGTCTGTGATTCAGATTGGTCGTTGTTTGCTGAATCAATCATCTGGGTTTGGTTCCAAACACCGTAAGCAGAGTAACTCGAATCCATTACTATTAAAACAAAACAGAATTCTCTGTTACAAACCACAAAGTTTTCAACTTTAGATTAGGAAACTATGAACGGTTTCAATTACAAGAACAGTTATGAACAGAGAGATCAAAAATGCTTGAAACTATGATAGATAAGGACACGATTCGAGGAAGGGAGGGAGAGGGTAATACCAGGATCAAGGATGATGGCGGCGGGGAGACGAAACGTGATTTAGGGTTTTTGAACATCTCATATATATACCTTTACTTGATTTAGTAATTACTTGGTCCTAGTTTTGTAAAAACAAGTCTGATGTGTGAAAGACATTTGTCATCATTATGTTTTTGTTGTACACATACAACATTGTAAAAAAAAATTGATATGTGAAAAGACACTCTATCAATCTTTTTTTTTTTGGCGACAGAGGATGGATATATTGAGCAAAGAAAAATCGTTCAGTACAAACTAGACGAAAGACACGCGAGAGCCGCTTTTGCGATGGACACTCTATCAATCTAAAGTACAGTAAAAACGGATTAATAATAATATCAAAATTATAGTATTTATGAATTTCTTTTTAAAATATATATAGTTTAACAATTGTCTGGCAAAATAAAAAGGTATAATTTCTCTCACAGGTTATATATTAGTAAATTTTATAAATTTTACTTTTCATATTAATTATCTGGTGTATAATAGATATCACAATTGTAGAATTTTAAATATAAACTGATTAATAATATTAAAATATTTGAAGTGTTGAGAAAAATAAAAATATGCATCTTATTTAGACTAAAAATAATAAATACAGTATTTTATTTATATTTCTAAAAATTTATATATTAGTAGTGATTTATTCATACTACTAAATGAGAGAATATATTTAAGATTTTTTTTGAAAGTAGCGCTTTATTATTTTGAACGAATTATATCATATATACTAGTTTATTTCAAACCAGGTAAAATTAATTAATATATCATATTTTTTATTTAGTAAATTCTAATTAGATATGTAGTATGCATATATTTTAAATTATTAATTAAAGCATCTTCAATTTCACAACATAATTTATTATAAAATAGGATAAAAGTTAGGAAAATTTTTAAATATAGAACAAAACGACTAATAGATTGTCCCTATACCATAATATGAAGTATAAATTGTCAAATTAATATATTTTTTTCTGTAAACCCAATTAAACCCCTAATCTAAATTCAAATAATTTGTTTTAATTATTAAAAAGAAACTTATAATTAAATAAAAATAATAAAAAAAGGGGAAAATAATAAAAGGGGAAAAATGGTTCCCGATCTCGTTTTTCCCCAACAGTCTAACCCTAAATTTCCCCCTCTTTGGCGATAGAGAGAAGAGCCGACTCCAATGCTCGCCGTCGCCGATGTTCCTTCTTCTCGATAAGACTCCGGTGGTGTTCTTCTTCTTAATCGAAGTCTCAGACACCTCTTGCTCACTTCACGTCTCGTTCTCAAGTAAATCGCCGAACACTGAATCTCGTGCTCCACCGGAAACTCAAGCGTGTGCTTTGCCCCTCTACAATATACAATCTCAAGTCTAGTTTAAGCAAAACGATCGAGATTTTCAAGTTTGTTCACTCATTGTTAATTTATTTTTGCATGTCTTTGTATCTTTAATTTGAGTCGTTTTTTTACTTATATTTTGATTGTGATGGGTTTGAAATGTAGTTCTGTGAATGATTTGAGTTTTTATGTTATCAAATTTTTATTCTTTTGATTTTTTTCATCGGTTTTGCTCTTAAAGTTTAACGCTTGATTTTTGTCTTCGGATTTGGTATTAAAGTTTCATACTTGTTCATGTTTGCCATATGTTACCGTTTAAGTTGTTCTTGTGACCACCGATTTTGTTATTAAAGTTTCAGGTTTGTGTTGACATAGCTCGGGTTAAACATGTTATATTGAACTCCTATTGAGTTGTGTAAGAACTCGTATTGAGTTGTGTAAGAAAACCTGGAATGAAATTGTTACCAAGATGTCTTTTTACCGAGTTTGTGTCTCATATAAATACAATTAGCTTGGGTTTTACATCTAAATATCTTGTAAGCTATGTGGTTTCGGTTTAAGTTTTTTTGTAGGAATTGTGAACATAAATTCACATGTCTTCTCTCTTTAATTTGAGTGTGTTTAATCATAATATGAGTACTAATTGTATTTGTTTCATTGTCCACAGGTATGACAATGGATCAATTGCCTAAGTGCCTATTCTAAGAAGGAACCGAAACTAAAATTAAGGTCAACAACACTTGCCGATCTACAATCCTTGAGTTGGTGCAAACGTCCGTTCCAGCAGAGTACTCGGATGTCTTGGAGGATCCGCTCTTTGCTCAAGTCATGGCCATTCATGATCACAAGCTTGGCTATTCTGGGACAGTGATCCACACCTTCGTTTGTAAGCAGCTTATGACCGCAAAGCTTCATGAGTTATTTGCTAGGAGGACTTTGAGATTTTCAAGGCAAGAGTTCTATGCGATCACTGGTCTGAAGTATGACGTCAAACTTGACTTGGATATCGATGATTGGAAATCTAATAAAGGGTTTTGGAGTCTGTTGCTTAAGAGGCAAAAAAATATAACTCTACAACAAATAAGGAAGATCCATCTGAAGAAGTGTAATACGTGGTCTCATGTTGATAGACTGAGATTGGTGTATTTGTGTGTTATTGCTGGTATGGTTATGGCAAAGGATGAGAAGGTGGGGATACCACACAAGTACATCAAGCTTGTGATGGATTTCGAGAAGATGAGGAAGTACCGTGGGGACTTCATTCCTTCAACATGCTGGTGAGTTCCATTATCGATGCTAGGAACAAAGTGAAGACGAAGAAGAGCTATGTTATAGATGGATTCTCCTATGCATTTCAGATTTGGGCGATAATGGCAATTCTAGACATTGGTACTCTTTTGGGTCAGAAACTTGAACAAGGCGTCATGAGCATGAGATGCAGAAACTAGAAAGGATCTTGTAGGATTTCCTTTGAAGATATTACTAGCCTTGAGTCTGATTTTACCTCCATTGTAAGTTATGATTCATTTTAATGTGATTTAATTCATTTATCTTAATGTATGTATCTTCACCTTATTTATTTGTTTATGTTGTGTAGGGAGTTTTGTTTCCATCCATCGCTTCCAACGGAACCTTCCCAAATGTTATTGTTCAACTTGAGTTTTCACAAGCGAGTGAGATGAATGATGAAAGAGTCGATCTAATCATTGACAGGTACCGAAACAACTATGATTGGAGTAAGCATTTATGGACTTATCATGAACCTCGACACTTATATGTACCTAGTTTTGATGAAGAAGATACAGAAGAGGATGGAGAAACAAGTGAGAATGAAATGGAAGAATAAATAGAATTCGCACCTGCGCCTGTTGAAAGAAAGAGGAAAAAATTGTTTCGGGACACTGGTGCTCAGTCAAGGAAGAAGAATTTACTCTCCCTAAGATAAGCCGAAAAATATAGAGAGCTTGAAGAGGAAATGAAGTCGTACATTCATGGGATGTTTAAGGCTTCCTTCACTTCCTTAGCGCTTGATGTATGTGATACAATTGAAAACCGGTTTACCAAATTTGAGGATAGGCACTTCGCATATCAGAATCCAGGTCTTTCACATGGTCTTACTCCTACTGCTATTGTTGGTGCTATGGCTTCAACTCACACTGCGACTGATGATCCAGCTGCCACTTTCACTACTCTTGGTCCAGCTCCGGCTTCGTCTCCTGCTCCTTCTCGCAGCAGAGCTCCTGTTTCTTCACGCAGTGGAAGTCATCCTCAAACTGGTGATCCTGCAAATGCTGCCAAGAAAAGGTTGAAGTCAAAGGTAATCAAGTGATAAACCTCTATTGATGTCATGTATTTTACTTGTGGTTTGTACTATTAAGGTAAGGAGGATGTTTTTCGTTTTTGGTGGTTGTACGAATGATGTAAGGATCATGGAATGTTTTTGCTATTTTTAATATTGATGTAAGGATGATGTAGTTTCGGCTTGTAATATATATGTTTTAAAAATGTTAATTTTTGTGTTTTGTGTTTATAACCAGGATTCAAATGTGTCTGATATTTTTTGGAGCTTATTTAAGACCTTAGATGCCAATTTAGGGACCCAAGAGTACTTACAGAAAACTATGGGCAACCTTACACAAGAGTCTCATGTCAAAGGGTTTGATCCTACTCAAGACACGAAATCTAAAGTTAAAGATAAGTTCACCATTCCTATGACTTTTTTTCCAAAAGAGGACTTTAAGCGTCCGGTCTTGGTTGATAATGACACACCAGAAGTCTGTTGCAAAGATAGTGACTATGCATTAGTTTTTGTTCCAGATGACAAATGGGAGAAACTAAATGAATGGTCCTTCAATCCCACGTAAGTAGTTCCTTGAATCCCATGTACGTAAGTTTTTGTTCTTCTAGATTCTTGCTTGTAACACTAATGCTTCTTCTTTACAGTTGACTTCAGATTGGGCCATCCATTTTTGATGGAACGGTATGTAAGCGTATAATTGGGCCTGGTCAATGGTTCAAGAACTTTGTAAGTTTACATCTGGTTATGTTACTTTCTAAACTAAGTATGTTTAGCTCATATCTATGTAATGTGCTTTTCAAGATATAGACGCCATAATGTATTTGTTTCAAAAAAAGACCGCGTTGCGTCGTTGGAAGCCATACCAAGTGGCTTTTATGAGCTGTTCGTTTAGTAATAATATCATTGCGGCGAACGGGAAGTTTCAGGGGAATAAGAGAGGGTACAAACTCGACGAAGTTTCAGGGGGATGAGGTGTTTGATTGTGTGGGTCTGAGGAACACGAGGACGGTGGAAGCATTCGCAAGCCTCATTCCACGAATTGTCAAGGGTGTTTAGCCATCGAAAAGGAAGAAAGATTTCAATGTAACCTTATACTGTTTCATATGTTCCTATGCGTGACCTAAACAAGAATAACAATGATTGTGGTGCATATGCTTTGAAGTTCATAGAGTGCCATGTACTTGGCTTCGATTTCTCTTTGATGCACGATGAGAACATCCAAGAAGCCCGGCATAAGATCGCATATGATCTCTGGGAAGCAGAAAATGATGAGGTCTTGCAGTTCAGAATGTCAACATTCAAGCCTCCAAAGCGTGCTCCAGGGAAAACTATAGATCTCACTTGAATAACTATATTGGTGTTGTTTGATGATGTTTAGATTTCTAATTTTTTTCATCTTTGTGTTTGACATGTTGATTTTTACATTACTCTTATTGTTATGGAATTGTTGCATTGATGTTTCACTGTTGTTGATGTACTTTCATGAACTAAAACCCGACAGGGTTCATACCCTAAACCCTAAAATAGATAGGGTTCATACCCTAAACCCTAAAATTGTTCTAAACATACCCTAAATCCTAAAATAGATAGGGGACATTCCCTAAACCTTAAAATAGATAGGGTTCATTAGCTAAACCCTAAAGTAACTTTGAATCATACCCTAAATGTTGATTTTGCTTCGTTTAATACACTAAACCTTAAATTAGATTGGGTTCAAATTCAATATCCTAAATCACATAAAGAGTGAATAATATTACTATTTAGAATTTAGAATGTTAACATATTAAATTATAGTTTAAGTTATACAAATTTGTATTTTCAAATTTTTTCTTCGTATAGTTCTCATATGACTTCTCTTTAGTGTATTAGAATGTAGTAGTTTAGCACTCAATATAAGGGTTATCAGAGTACAGCCATTTACAGTTTAAACCCACTAGGCCCACCCAAAAATTCTTAAAACTCGGCCCCAAAACTCGGATCTAGACACACCCAAAAACGTGATTATCTATTCATTTATCGAAAGTTAAGAAACTAAAGTAGAGAGAAAAGAGGATTGGGGTTTTTTCTCTGTGAAATCGTGGAAACCTAGAAACAAAATCACTATGTCCACTTCGTCAACATCTTCTGCTCGTTTTCCTCGAATTGCTACTCTTGGTGTCCCTAGAAGATGTTGGTGTTGCGAGGGCATAACTACTTTTGGTTCATCAATCGCGGAGAATAAGTATCGATGATTTTATCAAAGCGAAATCGCATTAGATGTAAGTTCTTGTTTTGATTTCGATTTGCATATTAAACAGTTATGTATTACCTAGATCTACAGTTAAAAATAGAATACTGACTTAATTTTGTTTATTTTGTGATAGAGAAAAACTAAGAATAGTCTATTTAAATGGATTAATGAAGCTTTGATTGACGAGATACGAATGGTGGATGCAAAACATGAGATGGTTGCTGAAGGGATTGCTAAGTTTCAAGAAAGGGTTATGGAAAAGGTGAAGTTCGAGATCGTTAGAATGGAACATGAGATGTCGGAAAAGCTCAATGATAAGGTGAACTTGGAGATTGCTAGAGTTGCAAAGCAGATGAAACAGAAGCTAAAGATTGCGACGGTGGCTATGGTAGTTGTAGGGGCAATCGTAGGAATATGGACTTCTCTTACTGTCTGACCAAGTTCTAGTTGTTGTTTGCTTCTTGTCTGAGTTTGATGGATTCATAATCTCTTGTTGTTTTGAGTATTTTTTTTCGTTATGATCGACTACTATACACTCGAGTGCTTCCTGTTTACCATAGTTGGTTGTTCACAATCTAATACATCTTGTTTGATTTCTCTGTTTCAAAGCTAAACCATATCAAAGAACAAAAAAATACGAGAAAATCCAAAACAAAGACATGACTAAATAGCTATGTCAAGTAAGCCAATATCCAATACATGACTAAAACATGAAATCCAAAACAAAGACACGACTAAAACATGAAATCCAAAACAAAGACATGACTAAAACATGAAAATCCAAAACAAAGACATGACTAAAACATGAAAATCCATAACCAACACCATAATGAAAATTATATCAGAGACCAACACATGACTAAATAGGTATGTCACATGTAGCTATGTTATGTCTCGACTCGCCACATCGACTGCACTTGCGCATCTTCTTCCCTTGAGTTCTTTGCGATAAACGGAGCTTATCTATAACTGTCTCATATCTGCGTTTTCTCCTTCTTCCTACTCTTCTTCTTGAATCAAGAGGTAACACATTAGCCTTCTGAACATTATCTGGTACAACCCAACTATTCTTAGGAACATTTATTGGATTGATAGTTTCATGATAAGTTGTTCTCCAAGTAGAAATCGTCTACACGTCATGGGGCTCGGCCAACTGTTAAACCAGCCTTGATTACGTGTCTACATGGGATTTTCAGTAGGTCGTATTTCCCACATGTGCAGGTTCTTCTGTCCAAATCAACCAGGCAGTCGATTGTATCTCCACAAACCAAAAAAACGATGCTCATTAACCGGCTTGACAAGAAACATTTTACCCTTGGTAATCCGTCTATCTATCTTTTTCTCGATGGCAATAGTTAATGGTTTAGAGTGCTTCCTGCTTTTGTGCGGCGTTTGAAGAACCAACGAGTAAGCATCTCTCTGATGCTATCCAACAAAGGAATGACTGGATACTCTCTTAGTGAGCGCAAAGCAGAGTTTATTGATTCAGCCGGGTTTGTGGTCCTGATGTCTTACCTGTAGCCTGGAAACGGCAACGAGCCCACTTTGAAACATCTGATTTTGTTAAATAGTTTCCAATGGTTGGACTAATATTGCAAACGGCTTGAAAATACATCAGATCTATTCAATCAATCCAACCACTCCATTTCCTCTGTAATCTGTGACCACATTATTCAACAAATGATGAATGCAAATTCCGTGTTGAGAAAGAGGATACACATTCTCAAGTCCCTTATAAAGTGAGCTATTTATGTCGGACACAAAAGCAAGAGAACGTTCGCCTGGAACAACAACCTTTAGTTGTCTGAAAAACCAATCCCATGAATGATCATTTTCTGAGCCCACAATCGCAAAAGCTATAGGGTACAAGTTGGAGTTTCCATCTAAGTTGTTGCAACAAGTAACACCTGTTTATATTTGCCCTTCAAAAAGGTCCCATCAACAACAACAACTTTCTGTATGGCTGTGTCAAAACCTCGTATTGATTGCCCACAAGAAACGAACAAAAATCTGAATTTACCATCAAAATCGGTTTCATAGAAGGTGTGTGTTCCTGGATTAGCTGCTTTTAGCATGTGCAAGTATCTTGGAATTTTTCCAATACTCTGCTCCGGAATACCTCTAACCATATTAATAGCATACTCACGAGCATTCCATGCTAATGATTTAGATATCTCGCATCCATGATCCAATCTCATAATCTGTATAATATCATTAGTTTTGGGACCTTCTTCAACACCATTATACCTATGCATTATGAGATTCCCAATAGTTTCTGCAGAAGCTGTCCGACCACCATTACTCATACTTGGCGCAGCACATGTGTGATCCGCCACATATTTTTTGATTATGAAATACGTGGATCCTGATAACCCCTCTGCACGAACACACCACTTACACTTGTTGTCAATGCATTGGATGTACCAAAGATTTCTATCTGATTTTACAACTTTGTAATCGAAGTTATTCTTCATTGTTGACATTTCCAATGCTGCTTTCAACTTCGATTTATTTTCAAACGTTTCACCCCTCTTCACAACATCCATCAAAGAACACCAAACACTTTTTCCACTATCATCTTCTTTTCCTGCCAACTCGAGACCAACATCTTCTTCCCAGTTTTTCGAGTTTACATTGTCTTCATCATCTTTATTTGACTCATATGAACTACCCATATCATCTCGAAGTGAAAACGAGGAAGGTTCACTTTGCTCACTGGAACGAATTTTAGAATCCTCTTTATCAACCTTAATGTTGGCGATGTTTCCATTGATAGGTGAAGTAGACACACATAACGTTGGGGAAGCTTTTCCACGCATATATGTAAGAAATTTTTTGACTTGCCGATCATTCCCAATGATAACTGGGTGACAGTCTATTGAACTGATTAACTCCATAGGTAAATAGCTTAACTCAAGCTCGACATCGTTTTCGTCAATTCCATAATCTACAAAAGCCATAATTCTTAGATCTTCAAACGAACTTCTCAATTCAACAACCAGTACTTTTCCGCCTTTGATCTTATCAACCGCAAATCCCTATCCTTTCAGACGATCAAATTTCCACACCCCACAAGAGGCATAAATATGCATCTTCTTCAACAAAAGCTTCAAATTTTGTGTTTGTTTACAAAATTTTGTTCATCGTCATGAAGAAGAAGATGAAGACCACGATTTTTTTTTTTTTTAACTAACTTAGGAAACACGATATTTTAGGAAAAATAGATTTAGGATATATTATGTTAACAGTTTTTTGAGATATTTAAGGAAACTATATATTTCGAAATTGGTAGAAGATACCCTAGGTTGTCCGTAGAAGTTAGAAAACACAGTAGTTTAAGGTTTTTTTTTTGGTAAACACACTGCGGTAGGCTAAAGTGTTTTGGTAGATTAATAATCAAATATTGTCAGAATATTCAATCATGGTAGATTGGTTGCCTTGTCTTTCTCTACCGTAGTTCAGAAATATACGAAATCGTAGCCGTAATTATTCTACCATAGTAGAAATTTATGTAGTGAACCCAATATTCAATCTACGAGTCCGTAGACAGTAGACGACGTTTTTCTACCATCGGTAGATCAAAATATGAATATATGTTCCACTAATATTTATTCAACCAAATTATTTTTCCTATGATGGTCTACTGATATGAATTTTTAAAGTTAGCTAGGGGTATCTAATTCAAATCTAACCAAAAATTGATTTATGGCAAAGTGACAATGTATTTGTTTTTCTATTCTGTTTGGGCAATTTTTTAAAGTTAGCTAGGGGTAACTAAGTTCAAATCTAACCAAAAAGCGATTTATGGCAAAGTGACAATGTACTTGTTTTTCTATTCTGTTTTGGCAATTTTTTCTAAAAATTATAGTCATAAACAAACAAAAACGGCAATACCCAAGGACTAGAGAAGTTGCATCATAACTAAAACAATATTTTCTCACTTTTTTTCTATTTCTCTAATTTCTTTCTACAAAATCAATTATTGGCTATTTCACAAATAAACTTTATGCATAAATCTCTTTTTTGTTTGTCCATAACTGCATTTTTATCTAATTTTCATAAATTATGTTGACGTAGTAAATGCATATAGTTAATGATATCATAGCTTTGTTGTTAATAACAGAAGGTCGGCATCATAGAGGCTTGGTTCGAGTATTGGTCATCACCACCCAATCATCTGCTTCCTCCAATGTATTATTACCTTTGATTGCAAATGTGTGTATATATGTACATTGAAACTGTTTCGAGTTTTTTTTATAAAATTATCTTTTGTTTTGTTTTTACGAATGGTTTAACATTCGCATTTATTTTTATGGTTGTTTAGCATATGTTTACTTATAGATAATCTCTTGTTTTGTGTTTATGGTTGGTCTGGCATAGATAATCGCATATTATTATTTTATGGTTGTTTAACAATTTTTCATTAGAAGATTGAGTACACTACCAATTATGATAGAATCTTAAGTTTTTTATTTGAAACAGAAATGATGATTCAAAATGCAATATGAAAAATAATTAAAACCACAAGGTTTACCATCTTATTAAGGAGTCAAGATGGTGAGAGATTCAGAAAACGAAATGTAATTTAGAGTTACCGAACAAGGCTAATCATTTCATAATATATTTTCGCCGCGTAGAAAACACTCGCTAATTAAAGATGGCGAGTAACATTTCGAGCACATATGTTTTGTTGAATATGACAGTTTGAATAATATAACTTATTAAATAGTTAATAATATATTTTATATTGAGAAATAATTATACTGCATAAAATATTCAAGAGTTTAGAATATCTAGCGATATTTCTATATTTTTATTATTCTTTTATTATATTAAACTATAGTTTTATTTGTTAAATTGTATGTGATTAAAACCACACAGTTTCAGTATATACAATACAATAAATATTATACGTAATTCTTTTTCAGAAAAGAAGAAGAAGAAAAAACATTCCACATTTGAATGCAGTCGAGAGAACGTTATAGAAACTCAAATATTTGCAAACTTTTTTTTATTTGTTAAACAAAAGTAGTTTATTTTAATAAATTTTGTTCCTAAACCCTCCAAATTTTTAATAATGTTTATTATTCATTATGTTCTGAAAAGAAATATTTGAACAAATGGTCCAAAAAGGGAAATTTATTTATATATATATATATATATTAATAATGATGAATTAGAAATTAAAAATAAGTTTATAGAAATACTATTAGTTATGAAATAATTAAAATTATTTATATTTATGTTTTTAATATGTATAAAGGTTAAAAAATCTGTTAATTAGAAATAGAGAAAATGTATTACAAAATATTTGAGGAGATTAGCATTATCTAGATTTTTAGATTCAGAGGAATGCGCCAAATTACTTCTTGTAGAAAGAAAAAAAACCCAACTCCAAGTTTTTCATTAGTATCCCTTGTAAATGAAAATTGGATTTTTAATTAAAAACCTTTAAATAAGTTTGTTTTGTATAAAAATCGTAAACTAAGTTTTTAACGGAAAAATTCTCTAACTAATTTTATTTAATAGATTAAACCATCTGTTTACAGTGCAGATCAAAATGATCACCACTCCTAATAAATCTTTAGTTTAGGAGTTTTTACAATAACTAAACACAATTGAGATGTTTTACAACTAAAAGTTTTAAATATCAAAAAATGAAAAAATATAATATAATATATTTATCTAAAAATTAGTAACTTAAATTTGTAACTTCAAGATTTAAAAAATTTATGCAAATATATGAGTATGATTTTTTAAAAAAAAAACAAAATCAAGACTTTATATGTAGAAATTGAAAATATAAAAAACCAAAAATATAATAAAAATTATGTATTCACCATTAAAGATATAAAAATCCAAAACTAAAAATATATAAAAATATAATAACATTATCTAAAAATTAATAACCTATATTTTCAAATGGTAGTTACTAATTTTTAGATAATTAGTTTTACTCTAATGTCGATCAAAAGATCCACTACTACCAGTAAATTTTATACATATATAATGTTGATTTTAAAATAACCAAACTCATCAATTTGCATAAATTTTTTAAATGCTAATTTTAAAAATTTAAGTAACTAATTTTTAGATAATGTTATTCTATTTTAAGTTTTACATATTTTTATTTTTGGATTTTTAAAATTACTGATAAATAAATATTTGTTTCTTATTTTTTTGTTTTTATATATTTTTAACTTCTACATATATAGTGTTGATTTTTTTTAAAAAAATCATACTCATATATTTTCAAATAAATTTTAAAATGTTAAATTTCAAATTTAAGTTACTAATTTTTAGATAAATGTATTATATTTTTATTTTTTTATTTTTTGGATTTAAAAAAAAAATGTGGTAAAACACCTCAGTTATGTTTGGTTAATTCAAAAATTCCTAGTGGTCATTTTGACATGCACTATAGACGGAAGGTTTAATCCATTAAATAAAATTAGTTTGGTGTTTTTTCGTTAAAAACTTAGTTTAGAGGATTTTATCCAAAACAAACTTATTTGATGGGTTTTACGTTAAATATCCATAAAATTTTGATATTTGAAAAGACAATATCGAGCACTGACATTATCAAAAGTAAATGTAATATGCATATGTATGTTAAATTATCTAATTAGACTTTATAGGAAATGTATATTTCATACAATTGATATTATTGTTAAGGGTTTTTTATAGATAATTTTAGGTTTTAGTTTTATGGTTGGTTTAGCATATGTTTTCTTATAGATAATTTGCTTTAGTGGTTATGGTTGGTTTGGAATAGATGATCCCATATTATTATTTTCGAACAAACCAAAACGAAATATATATTTTTGAGTAAATATTATTAGAACACTGAGTACTTTAGCAATAATTATAAAATCTGAAGTTTTTATTTGGAGGAAAATGAGGAAGCAAAATGCAAAAAGAAATATAAATAAAGCCACAAAATGAGATCAATACTTAAATAGGAGCATGGCTGCCCGGAACTCCCCAACATCTTGCTCGTCTAGCTTTATCTGTTGGGGAAACCAGGCTCTTGAATAAAACATCCATTGCTTCAGTAACCTTCTCTTTCAGGGCTTCTGGTGATTCTATCAACTTAAAGATTAGGGTTCGGTCTAGCTCAAGAAGCATTCCTGTGACTTTTGCTGCAAAAACTGGCACAAGTGATTCCACCAAAGGGTAGAGAGTCTCACCAATCAACTACAAGAAGAGAAACTAAAGTAAGTGAAAAATATAAGCAAATTTTATTTCAAAATAACCACCATATAAAAGACAAAAAAATCAGTTTTACATTTCGTTGTTCACTCGGAGTTCGGTTTTCAAGTGCTTGAGTCAAAACAGCAATGGGAAATCTTCGGTAAAAAGCAGCACGGGCGAAGGGATCATGAATACTGTAAACATTAATAAGAGGAGGCATGACTTAAGCCGTGAAGACGGTAGAAGAATTAGAAGACAAAATGTGAGGCTTACAGAACAATGGTTAATCTGTTATATAGTAAAAACAGTTTGCCTATTTAAGTAACCAAGAACAGATTTTTCACATATAGAATTCAAATATATGTTTTAGACCGCGTAGAAGACACGCGCTAAATAAAAATAGCAAAATACAACATTATACCAGATATGATTTGTTGAATATGATTTAGTTTGAAGAATATAACTTTGTTAAATAGTTAATAAATATTTTCATTTGGTATATTATTATACAGAATAAAATAGTTGGAGTTTAATATATATAATATACATATCGGTATCTATAAAAAATTTACTCATTTTTTATTAGATTAAGGTATAATATTTTACTCGGAAAAATTTGTGTGTGACTATTGTATACAACAACATGAGTTTGAAGTATACAATATAGTAAAAATTAGAAGTGGTATAATTCTTTTCTCAGAAAGGAAGAAAAAAAAAGAAATTTTAATACATATGATTGCACTAAAAAAAATGTTATGTATAACAGATATTTGTGAAAATAAATCTATTTTATTTCATAAAATATGTTTCTATTGTCTCCAAATTTTTAAAATAAATGTCTTACATTTATATATGTTTTCAAAGGAAATATAAATTAATAATGATATATTTAATTTTAAAAGAATATTTTTGATATAACATTTCAAGAAAAAGATTAAACATATTTTATTAGTTAATAACCAGTTTATACATTCTCTTAAATTATATGTCTCAAACGCTTTATTTCTCTGGATATTACAAAGAAGTGGAATTCAGAATACATTTGTAATCTAGTGCTTAATCCAAAAGTATAATACGATATACTCCATTCGTTTTATAGAAAAATGTCATTTGACATTTTTACAAAAATTAAAAGATCACTGGAAAGTTTTTATGGTCTTAATAGTTATATTTTTCAACCATAATATTTGAGAGAAATAAAATTATTTATAAGACAATACATTTTGCAGTTAATATTAAACTTTTTTTTAACGAGTTAATATTAAACTTAAAATATATATTATGGTATTGAAATTTTAAAATGATATTTTTTTGTAACAAGAAAAGGTGTAAGTGTAATATTTTTAATGAAATAGAGGGAGTATGAATTATTAAAAGACAAACACATAAATTTGAAGTAGTTATTCACATATAGTAAATATATTCAGAGATATGAAAAATTTGAATTTCCCCACACCTCATATTTATATTGGCTTATATATTCAGGGAAGTTGTTTTCTTGGATTGATAAAACTATGCTTTCGAATTAGCAAAACTATTGGTGTATATGATGATATGAAATCGGTGAAACCAAACTATGTGAAGAGATGAAATAGCCACTTGAAAGAGTAGAAAGAAAAAAACTAAACAACAAACAAATGCAATCATTTATGTTTAATTATGCTACTATGAGTGTTTTAAGACCATGTTTATCCCTATCCATGGGTTTCTTAATTTTTTTTTTTGTCTTAAAAAAAAATAAAAATTAAAAAAGTAACCAATCGCGGACTGTGACGTGTCAGTGGGGCCGTGAACACTGTAAGAAATTCACTAAAATTGGTTCTTAATTAGTAATTTTTGTAACTGATCCTTAAGGATTTTGTGAGGGCCCATGCACTAAAACCCCACTAAAGACCCCGGATAAACATGCTCTAAGCAACTTAATGAACTTTCGTCGTTGTATCTATCTCTTGCTACGCAAACTACACAACAGAACTTGGAGTCACACCAGTTTTGACTGATGTCTGCATTACTTCCATCTCTACAACCATGGAGCTCTATGGAATCCAAAGAAACGTTACTGCCTTCTTTGGACTAGGGACATACCAGATTCTTGTTAGCTATGTTTGTGAGGGTCAGACCAGTGACCACTATAACTCAAATGTTTCATTCTCTTTGGAGAATATTTCTAGAAACTGTAGAACTCCCTCTTTCACCGGGAGATCAAGGCTACGTAGTTCCAGAGTATGATGTAACACAAGAACTGACAAATAAGAGCGATGTGTACAGCTACCAAGTGGTATTGTTAGAGATTATAACAAGGATGCTGTCGATGAAAGTAGGAACCTGGTAGAAATGTCTCAGCCTTTTACTGGTATCAGTATCAAGACGCACTGATCTGGTGGATTCAAGAATCAAGGACTGCATAGATGGAGAACAGCTTGAAACAGTAGTGGCTGTTGTGAGATGATGCACAGAGAAAGAAGGCTTCGCTAAACCATCAATTAAGCAAGTCTTGAGGCTATTGTGTGAATGTTGTGATTAGGGGTGGGCGTAAGGCGATTACTTGCGTTTTTGTGTATCCTTGATACTAACTTGCCTTGAACGAGTAATGAATTTTCGGACTTGTACTTGCCTTTTCGAAAACAGGTACTTGTTATTTCGAGTACTTGTCCAAAAATATGTTACTTGCAAGTTACTTGCCTCGATTACTTATTACTTACAAATACTTATGAATTATTTGGATATTTTATTCAAGTTTCTAATAACTATTTATTAGATAATATTGTATAAGAAAAGATTATAAAAAAGTTTATTTTGTTTATTCAACTGAGAAAAAACACAAAAATTACTTCAAATAAAATATTTGTACCTATTATAAAGAAGAAGAAACAAATACATAAATGTTTCGATACAAAATATTTTTTATTTCTTACAACAAATAAATATATTTTTAAGACTTTTGTTTCTATGGTCTAGTTATCGTTTCTTTCAGTTGCAAAACAAGTAACAAGAAATATGAAGGCGGATCGCTAATTTCTTTGTAATATTTGTTACTTGACTTATACTTGCAAATAGCAAAACTAAGCGACTTGATACTTGACTTGAAAACGACGAGTACTTGAAAAAACGAGGCGAGTACGGGTCAAGTAACAAATATAAGGCAAGTAACGAGTATTTGTGCCCAGCCCTAGTTGTGATCCCATGCATCTCGAGCTTGCAATGGCTGTTGAGGAGGAAAGGCCGGTCACTGAGAGGTGACTTCGCTTTTTCTTCTAGTACTACGTCAAGGTCGCATTGTAGCCAGAGTTTCCTGCTTGAGACTGGCTTGACACTGCTTTTTAAGTGACTTATACTTTGGATGCTTTCTAACTTGTTTTCTAATTGCAATTTTGGAAGATTACATATATGTTTTCTAACAGAGTCAATAATTTGTCAATCTCAGGAGAAAACCAAATCACTACCAAATGGTCAAGATATATATAAACCACTGTCTTGTACAAATCCCAAGAACACAAAAAGAGTACTAATCAAACCTAGACTGATGCACAGGACCGGCTCTGTAGCTTTATTTACATAATCATGGAGGATCACTATTTCTCAAATGCATTGATATTTTAAGTGTCCCTTATTATATATAGACGTGGTGGTGCTTTCTATCTGGGAGCCCATTTTGGTTACAAGCCAATCAATGAAAATATCACCACTCTTTAACACAATAAAGAGCACTATTTCGTGGAGTGATCTAAGTCATCAGTTCCAAATACAAAAATTTAATTTCTTTCCTCATTTGCAGAATTACATTGTTTGATTTTGATTTATAATTTTATATAACATCCACTTTGCCACGTTAGACCCACGTAATCATCGATTGCCACACACAAGATTATCATTTGGTTACTTGAACCTTGGTAGCTGAGTTCGACCAGCGATCCAAGGGACTATGTAGTGTTTAAAACATGTAAACTTGTACTATTTTGTTCACGAAATGTAACGAAAAGAACTCGAATTTTGTGATAAGTAAGATACCGACGCTTGACCATTTTTACAAATCCATATAATCACAAGTCTGATTTATTTTTATTAGAAGATGAACAAGAAGATTGAAGTGAAAATTTGTTACAGATTCGATAAAATCTTATGTATTTGTTGTTACTCAAAATGAATACAATGTAAAAGTATTTATACTCTCTTTATATCGGTTTACAAGTCAAACCAGTTTACACGTAACCAACTAAGCCAATTACTTCGATAATACTCTTCTCTTCATATTCAACTATGCATTCTCCTCTTCACTCTCTTCATACTCCTCACTCTCTTCTCTTTACTATCTTCTCTTAACACTCTTCTCTTCATACTCTAATACCCTCCCCTCAAGATGGAAGACACAAGCTGTGGATACTAATCTTGCCAATAAGAGACTTGAAGATACCAGGTTGAACCGCTTTTCTCAATATATCAACTAGCTGTAATGCAGACTTCACATGAAGAGTTTTCAAGAAGCCACGCTGCAACTGTTCTCGAACAACATGACAATCAATCTTCACATGCTTTGTCCTTTCATGATAAACATGATTAGAAGCAATGTACAAGGCGGATTGATTGTCACAAAACAGAGTTGCAGGAGGAGGAGGAGGACAATGCATCTCAGTGAGGATAGCAGTGAGCTAGAGTAGTTCACACGTTGCATCAGCCATTGCTATGTACTCTGCCTCTGAGCTGCTATGAGAAACTGTTGGTTGCTTCTTTGAACGCCAAGAAACCAACGAGTCACCAAGAAAGACACAATAGCCAGACGAAGTTTGCTGTGAATCAGGACAAGCTGCCCAGTCCACATCAGAATAAGCAGTAAGCCGTAGAGAAGATGATGCAGAATAGAACAAGCCTTGACCTGGATCATTCTTCAAGTACGTAAAACACGATATGCTGCTTGAAGATGAGCATCAGTAGGAGCTGACATATATTGACTCAACATATGGATTGCATATGTAATATCAGGACGAGTGTGAGTTAGATATAATATACGTCCAACGAGTCGTCTTTAGGCCTTTGCATCAGGTAATAAGGTTCCTGAAGTTGCAGACATCTTCAAGTTAGGCTCCTTAGGAACAGATAACGGCTTACATCCCAAATATCCAGCCTCTTCCAAGAGTTCAAGAGTGTACTTTCATTGATTGATAGAGATACCCTTTGAACTGCGAGCAATCTCAAAACCCAAAAAATATTTTGCTGGTCCGAGAT